TATATATATATATATATATTCGGTGGGTCAGACATCGGTCCGTTATTCCTGTGCAGATGCCATCGCAGTTGCGATTGAACTTGTAGGTAACTTGGAAGACATTGGATTCATCAAAGCTTTTACTGCGATCATAAAGTCCGTTACATATGAGGTCAATCATTAGAGTTTAGAGCATCGGTTGACCGCTTACAAGTCATACTACTCTGTATTGTATTGTATTGTATTGTAATAACTTCTGCAAGCGTGAAGCCCACATTTCAGTTAAAAAAATTATGCAGTTTGGAGCAAGGGAGAAAATGAAAATAACAGTGAAAAAAGCGATTTAAGTTCCAAAACTGTTAAAAAATTCCGTGAAAACCGGTTTTTTGTTAACAAGAATATGTGCTAATAAGGGTACTGTGGAGTTGCGATAAATTTTTATTCTAAAGGGAACACAACAATATTGTGATCTAGCTGAGGGATGGGAACAGCAAGAAGTTAGGTCAGCGTGGAGCGGATGTGTGGAGTCGATGAGAATTTTATGCGCAAACTTTTCACATGCATTCAAATGACGTTCGCATAGGTTAGTTATGAACTCCTTTAGTGGGATTGAAGAGACATGGCTAATGATGGTCAATCCACGTCGANCACTGATACACAAAGTTGGAAATAATTGGTTGTGGGATACGAAACTGACGAAGTTTACGGATATGAAAAGAAAGTCGTCGAAGCTTACTGACGATATGTTGAATGTGAGGGGTCCAGTGAGGGATAGTATCAATAAAAACGTCCAGTTATTTAATACAGTTTACCTGGGATACTGGTTCGGAACCAATCGATACCAGTTCAGATGGGAAAGAAGAGCGTGATGGTGTAAAGAGACATTCGAAACATTTGGAGGGATTAAGAGATAGGTCCGATGTGGCGGAAAACTGTTGGACGTTATCCAAGTTGTCAGAAAATTGTGAAAATCCAGAAGAGTCAGAGATGGCTTGACACAAAATCACGTCGTCAGCATACTTGAAGAGAGAAGTAGGAGCGCAAGCAGACAAGTCACTAATATACGTAGAAAATAAGTATGGGGAAAGAACTGCACCTTGGAATACTCCAGAGCTGTTCAACAACGGTTTGGATTTCTTTCGACCTAGTCTGGTACNCTGAGTTCTCCCGGCAAGCCAAGCTAATAACTGTCTAGGACAATCAAAGGTCTCTAGTTTATGAAGAAGAAGGGAACGGGGAATAGAATCAAAATCAGATGAATAGTCCAGAAACACACAAGGGACAGATTTCGCAGAGTCATTCAACGCTATGGTACTTTTATGTACAAGAGAGGGTACTGCATCCAGCGTTCCTCTGTTTGGTTTATAAGCAAACTGAAGAGGATCATATGGGACATCCATGGAGGACTCAATGCGCTTAAGAACAACACGTTCTACTAGCTTAAGTCCAACAGAGGTTAAAGCAATCGGACGAAAGCGTTTGGTTAGAACGTTTGAAGTAGAGGATTTGGGAATGGAAACAATTGTTACTGGTTTCCAACAGTCTGGTATAGAGCAGGTTTTTAAGGAATTGTTCAAAAATGAGGTGAATGTTTCACTGAGAGAATGGGCCCCATGTCTCAGAAGCGAAGTTGAAAGACCATCGGG